CTACCTTTTTTTTTACATTTACAGTTGTCCTTTATCTTTTATTAGCAAAAGTTTTCATTTATTTCATTCTTTATGTTCTGCCACATACATACATACATACATACATACATACATACATACATACATACACACACATACACACACACCACACACACACGCTCATTCATATACAGATGACACCCTCTGGAGAAAAAATACTATGGAGGTAAGACACCTCTAATACCCCTTAAGGTGTGTGTTCTGTTAAGATGCAGTCTGTTCTGTTGTACTGGCTTCTACCGTACAGCGCAGTGGAGTTGCCATGGTAATGGCTTCACAGTACTCCACAAGGGGGCTCCCTCTGCTAAGGGGAAAAATCCAATATTAGAAATTACATTTGGTCCAGACATTTTCCGCCTATAAATAAATACCTGGGCAATGCCAGGTTATTGGCTAGTTTAAAATAAAAGCAAACTTAAAGCAGTTTTTCTAAATATAAAATATAGGAGCAAATCACAGTCAAACTTCAGCTCATTGCTTGATACAGTTTTTTAACAGATCTTGGCTCTTTATAGGTATCTATGGACAGGTGTAGCACATAGAAAAGCCAACAGGCGTTAGTGAGCAAACTTCGTGGGAGAAACAGAATTTATCAAAATATGGAAAATCGTCAGATTATGCAAGGATTATTAGGTTGTCACCCAGACATAAGGATTTGTATACAAAGACTTTGGAATAAAAAGGTAGTAGCAGGAATGTTATAAATATATTAACTGGATTCTCACAGGGTTTTTTTGCACGGAATGGAACAAGAAACAGCCTTAAGGCTCGTACATTGTGCACTTTACAGAAAATTCATCTCTCGCCACCAATTTACCTTGTATCCATAGGCATGTGGAGGACTATAACACTTTGGACAGGGCCACAATCAGAGTGTAGGGCATTCTAAATCTTTAATCAATGCAAACACAATGGATTTCTATATCTCAATCAATGTATATATGTATGTATGTATGTACAGTATGTATGTATGTATATATCTATTTTAGTTATTAAAGTGCAGGTCTACATAGCCGTAAGAAATGCTATGACTTGAAATATTGGGAATTAGAATCTTGGATATGAAATGCAAAGACATGTCTATAAACAGCTATTTATAACCATGTTTCATTTGGATGCTCCAGTAATTAAAATATTGTATACGTATGCAGGAGACCTAAATATCTGTGCTCTACTCCTTTTAACTGTTTTAGCCTAGACTAGATCTTACTAGGAGGTAACTAGCACCACCTTCTGTGAATATCTATGACTTAACTTTACACAGTAAAACTGTTACAGGCAGAGGTAACTGTTTTACCTGTCAATGGTATTTATTAAATCATTAAGGTTTAAATATTTTCCATGCTCCTTAGTAGATTGTGGACTTTGGATTTACTCATTCAAGGAATCATTTGCAGAATAAAAGGGCAGAAAAGATGGGTGTATAAACAAAGAGGATTTATGAGAGGTACCAGAAGGCAGTCATTGGGCCTTTTTCTCTCTGCTGTTGATGTATAAAATCCTAGCTGCTTAATTTCTTTACTTTCCACTCAAATATTTCCTAGTTAGCTCCATTATGGATGCCACATTTTAAGGCAGCTTGATTTTTTGTTATTTGCGAAGTCATGTCTGACCCACCGCAACCCCATGGACAACATTCCTCCAGGCCTTTCTGTCCTCTACCATACTCTGGAGTCCATTTAAGCTCATGCCTACTACTTTGGTTACTCCATCCAACCACCTCATTCTCTGTCATCCCTTTCTTCTTTTGCCCTCAATCTTTCCCCGCATTAGGCTCTTCTCCAGTGAGTCCTTCCTTCTTATTAGGTGGTTAAGGTATTTGAGTTTCATCTTCAGGATCTGGCCTTCTAAAGAGCAGTCAGGGTTGATCTCCCCTAGGACTGACCAGTTTGATCACCCTGTAATCCAAGGGACTCACAGTAGTCTTCTCCAGTAACATAGTTCAAAGGCCTCAATTCTTTCGTATGGTCCAACTTTCTTAAACTGGAGAAAGAGTGGTGGAAACATGGGGCTTCAGAAAGGCTGGTCTGGATTGGAATAAGTTTGCTGGAAACGATCCCTCCCTCACTACCATCAGATCATTTGGCAGTCAAACTCAAAATCTTTTTGGAATCTTCTGCATCTTGCTGGCAGGATACCAATTGCCCAAAATCCCTTGGAATGTATGAAGAGCACATTTCCCACAATTTCTAATGCCCAGAAATCTGAAAAAGCAGGTCAGCCACAGCTTGGTTGCCAGAAACAACCGGTAAATATAGTTCTAAAGATTTGTCTTTCAGAAATCTTTGGCTGCTCTTAGACCAAGGTTGGGTTGTACCATGAAAACCATGTAGCACTGTTTCTTCGTTGCAGTTACTAATGTAATATAGAGGAGGAGTGTGGCACAAACTACTTTGGTCCCATGGACATATTATATTCTGCTAAAGGATTTTTTAATCAAGGTAGTTATTACTATTAGAATATGAGCTAGCAAGATGATAGAAATGCCTATGCTAGTTCACTGTTTGGAAATAAAAAAGGCATGTGGGGGTGGAGAATTGGGGGGGGGGGCAATGTGGAAGTAACATAGTTTCTTTAAGTGAAACATTTAGTTTCTTTCTCTGCCTCTAATTTGCCTGCCAGAAAAATCTCTCCGGTTTCTTAATTTTCCAAATGACTTCCATGTCCATGTATAAAAATAAAAGCTTTATTTATTCAAACCATTTTAATAATTTTGGCAAGTTAGTAAAAGCTTTTGGGAGGGTTAGCTGATGTCTTTTACTTTCTTTGGGGTGGCTGGAGTAGAAATCTGAATTATAAAACCAACCATAGGGAAGAGGTAGCAAAAAGGAACACTCGGCTAATTCAGATCCCTGTGAAGGAAACAAAGGACATTGCAATTTGAATTTGACACAGATGAAGGCAGGGCTATCAATCGCAAGGCATTGCACAATCTTTTCCTTCATAATGGATTTTTAGGTGATAAGAAAAGAGCCTCAAGAAATGGCAGGAAAAAAAAACACAAGAAGGTTATAGATGGATAGCTGGGGTTTAACTTGGCTTCTCGGTAAAATTCTGTCTATGAAGTAATTACACAATAAAAGCACTCACAGCAAGCATGGTCTGGGGCAAGATAAGCATCTCTCAGTACCCTGATATGAACTAGCAGTTTTTGACTGTTGGAAGGCGGATAGGCTCTGCTTCGTTTATACTGAGACAGTAGAAAGTGCAAGCATTATACAATTTCACTGATCTCCTTCCCATGAAGACAAAATATGAATGAGTGCTCTGCATGTTACATTCTAAGTCTTGGAATTAATAAGCCAAAGGCAGACTAAGTCATGATAGAAGGCATAGAATTTCACTTTCTGGAAAAGGAAGAAAGTGAGGTGTTGTCCAAAGGATTCCTGCCTTATTTTGCTGAAAAGCTTTTAAAGTGTGATAGATAAAAATAGAGCGATAAGAATGATTCTACTGGTGCTGCTTTGTCTTGTCAATTAATCTGATTCTTTACTTTTCTTCCTGTCTTTCTTTTTCTTCTCCTTTAGACTGTCTACAAGGCCTGGCTCTGTTCCCAGTATTTTGAAGTCACACAGTCTCATTGCAACAACACAATTCCTTGCAAGCAATACTGTTTGGAAGTTCAGACAAGGTGTCCATTTATATTACCAGACAATGATGATGTCATCTATGGAGGGTTATCCAGTTTCATCTGTACAGGTATGTCAGATTTCAGCAGCTGTTTCTAACACTCCTTTCGGAGCCATTTTCTGAAGCCTGAGGGCCACATATAATTAAGAATTCCCTTCTGCTTTCCACTCAAGACCTCCTTCTCCATTATATATCCCACAAGAATGCTCTGTAATCCTCAAGAGTGTTCCCTTTTGCCTTCTCTCTTTCACACTTCCCCTCCTCCTCATGTCTACTTAGGCATGACTCATCTGCCTTAGATACCAATTCACTTTATTTGTTCTGTGTTTGTATCAGTTCCGGAAGATAATTCCACTTCATGTTCTCAAGCACTTCCTATTTATGCAACCTGTACAGAATCCCTCAGTTTGGACAATATTTCTATGGGCTTGTTAGAATGAAACTTCCTGTGCTGTTGAGGGAGGCTAAGTTATAAAATTCAATGTGCAGAATGAAAAAAGGTATGATTCGCTTTCAAAAAAAGCGGTACCTTTGGAATATCACTATGCCCGGTTGGTTGCATCAGCTGTGCAACCAATGCTAGAATACACCTCTGCTTATAGCTGTAGCTTAAAAATACCAGGCAGTTCTACAAAAATTACTTCCTGTGTGAATCTTTTATTGCCTTTCTTCCACCCTAAATTGCAATGCTGTGTACCTGGTCCAACTACATCCCCAGAGCTTGAAAATGTGACAACAAACTGAAATATTGAAAGAACAAAGGGTGTACTCAAATATGAAGCTTCTTGGTGCAGTGGTTAAGGCATCAAGCTAGAGACCAGATACTGAGTTTTAGTCTCATGTTAGGCACAAAGCCTAAAGTTGGGTGACCTTGGGCCAGTCCTTCGCTCTCAGCTCTAGGAAGAAGACAATGGCAAATCACTTCTGAAAAACCTTGGCAAGAAAGCTTGCAGGGGCTAGTCGAAGTAGTCATCAAGAGATAATACTGACCTGAACATGCATACATAAATACACGTGTGTGAATGTACATATGGACAACAGAAATTCTAGGTTTTTTAAAATACTTCTGAGAGAATAATGATTGAATATGAAGCATCCATTCTCATTCTTGCTTTTGCCATAACTATTAACTTTGATATATGCCTACAATATCATGACAAATTAAATATGAATATGCAGTGCGAATAAATTCTTCGCTTTTAAAGATCTACTGGGATTTTTTTTGGCGAAGGGAATTTTATATGCTAATACTGTGTCTCTGGGTCTTCATAAAAATATTTTGGAATTAACAGGAATATTAAACATTTTGTGGCCTGGGCATCATGCTTCTTCCTTCTGGTCTGCCTGGGGAAGCAAGAGGATTAAAGCTAGTAATGTTAGTCAATCCAAGCATTCAACCTTAATTAAACAAAAGGGTCCAAAATTTTCACCCTGGATAATTGGTATCATGCAGGGGAATTTCATATAAATGCTCAGAAATCAGAATGAGCACTGGCCCATCCACAGGGATCAAATGCTAACTGATGTGTACGGATTTTCAATTGTGCATTTCCCACAACTTAGAATTTGTATCATATGTCCTAATACAAGTATATATTCACATATTTTTTGTGATTATGTTGCACATGTTACACAATATTACATGTTACACAAACATGTAATATTTTGGCATTATCACGGTTTGTTGACCAGGCAACTGAACAGGTAAAAGTAAGAGAAAGACAGAAAGACTGCACTTTGACTAGCGGTGATAACTTAACCTCTTCAAATCTAAATGTCTATGGAGATTCTCAGTCATCCAGGTCATGGTTGTCCCGAAGGTGCTTTTTCAAGAGGCAACTGGACTTTCTGGTTTTTCTTTGAAGATGTTTTGCTTCTCATCCAAGAGGCTTCTTCAGTTCTTCAAATCTAATGCATCTATAAATTCCATGATCCCTAATACTATGATACTTGGATGGCTTAGGAGATGGAATATCACCTAATATATCTGTAAAATACCCTTTGGGAAATGCTGGCCTAGGTGTTGATTTATGATTTAATAAATGGTTGATTTATGAGCAGAATAATTTTATTACTGTGTTTCCCCGAAAATAAGACTCTGTCTTATTTTCGGGGAAACACAGTAATAAAATTATTCTTATTTTTTCTTATTTTCTTTTGACCCCCAAAATAAGTGCTTGGACTTATTTTCGGGGAGGTCTTATTATTTTTGAGATGCAGGAGGCAGTGAGTGTGGTCACCTCTTGGCTGCTGCTGTGTTGCGATATTTTCAGGGAGGGCTTATTTTCGGGAGAGGGCTTATTTTAGCACATGCACTCAAAAGCTCAATTGGGCTTATTATACAGGGAGGTCTTATTTTCAGGGAAACAGTGTAAATAACCCATACTAACAAATACTAACACACACACACACACACACACACACACACACACACACACATTTCTTAGTGTTATTAAATTAATAAAAATCCTAGTCAATCAATACATTTCCGGGTTGACATATATTGTGAAATAATGCAAAAGAAAGGATAGAAATCCATAAATAAAAAAGGAATAATGCATTTGCATAATTTCATAATGTGAAACCTCAAAGATGTTCTTTTTGTAGTAATTCTTACTCCCAACTCACAAATCATATAGCTTGATTGAAGGCAAAATTCATTATCAGAACACGGGTGACTCTTTATCAGGAATTATATTTTTCTTGATATTGTTCATACTAGTGTTTTTGACCAATACAGCAGCTTCTCTGTTGATAATATCAGAGGGTAGAAATAAATATAACTCAAACACATTGTCCAGATTATACCACTACTTTATTGTCCCAGATACCATTGTCTCCAATGGTTCCGATTTGTGAAAAACTCTAAAACACGAACTTGAGCACTGAAATGGCTAGTGAGCTATTTACTTTTTCTGAATTTCTGCAGGATGAGAACAACAAAATATCTCAAACAAACCTCAGATTGCTATAATGCCCTGCTTGGTAGAGAGGAAACTCTTTTTATTTGGAATAGGCAAAATCCTAAAGATGAGAAAATGCACTAGCTATTTCAAAATGCAACCTTTTTTTACTATTACTATTTATTTCTCATATAGCAAATCCCTAATAGGATGGTTGTGAATGCCATGAATGTGGGCATTAAAACTCTGCTTTAATCATTTAAAAAATATTTTGTTTCATTGTTAGGTCTTTAACACAGAGACAAAAATTTTGCAATACAGAATTTAAACTTTGTGGACCAAAAGTAACCTCCTGTTTTGCATTATAGAAATAAACAATCCCTGATATTGAAAAAGTTATTTAGATGGAATGGTCTCTTATCAGGGATACAGCTTAACTAAAAGAGCGAGCGAGCGAATTCTCCATATGGAAAGTCATTGGCCTTCAGAGATCATTCAAAAGTTCTCAATAACCAGTTGGTTTGCTGTTCTGTAGATTGTAAGACAGCATCTAAGATGATAATGTTATTGTTAAATGTTAATGAAAAACATAATGTTGATGGGTTTCTGAACCTATTGCAGGTCTTCAGTTATAGTAGCCAGGATAATAAAAGCTGGGGAAATGTTGCATGTTGTCCAGACTACATTAATTTCTGTGTATTCTGTAAAAATGAAAAGTGAAGGAATGTCTGAGTCTTCTCAAGAATCTTCTCCTTAGCAGAAGGAGTTTTCCAAGCAGAAACTCTTCTGCCAAACTGGAAATATTGTACCATTCTTCAGGTCTTCTGAAGATTGAACTGCATCAGTTCTGTGTTGTCTGACAGTCTAATTTGACCAATGACTAGCTGCAAGGCAATGCAGCAAATTTTCTTTGCTGCCTTTTGATGGTCATCTAAGATGTGATAGTTTTAACTGTTTCTCTGCATTGTTAATGAATTCATAATTCAGCTGGTGAAAGTGATCAATGAGGAAGGAGATCAGGAAACTCTCTTGATCCTATTTATTTGGAGCAAAGCCCCCCCCCCCAAAAAGAGGAAGAGACACCAAGCAAAGGAGTATCAAATCTCACCCTCTGTCCTGAGAAATGCTTGCAGAATCTTGACTTAGAGAGACCCAAGTATTATATTTCAAATTAAAGCTGCTTCCTGAATTTAGGCAGCAAAGAAAAAAATAGATGTCACATGTTCCTTGGAGCCAATCAGCATTATTCTACTTATAAAAGGTACAAAGCATTGTAGAGGTTTCTTGTTTATGCTTTAAATTCAGGGAATTATGCATGGGTTATTCCGCATGTATTTTAGAGTTTAGAACAGGTCACTGGGGACATCTAGTGGAGAACAGCAAGCAGTTCATGCATAACAAATTGCATTTGAGTTGTGAATGAGAAGCATTCAAGTTGGAAGTGAACGTCTTTCACCGCGATAGTTCCTAAGTAGTTTGAGTTTGAGTTTTATTTCATTTGTATGCCACCCTTTTCCCTAAGGGGACTCAGGGCGGCTCACAGCTCAAAAAGGGAAGGGGGGATACAGACAGTTTAGTAACAACACAAAACAATACATAATTAAAAGCACAACAGTCATACCATTCGAGATAGGGGCAGCGAATCTTTAGCCCCAGGCCTGTCGGAACAGCCAGGTTTTAAGGGCTATGCGGAAGGCCTGGAGGGTGGTGAGGGTACGAATCTCCACGGGGAGTTCGTTCCAAAGGGTCGGAGCAGCCACAGAGAAGACTCTCCTCCGGGTAGTCGCCAGTCGACACTGGCCGGCGGATGGAATTCGGAGGAGGCCTAGTCTCTCAAGTAAATTAATCAATACTGACTCTGTTACAAAAGAACTTCTAATATGAATTTGTGACTCACCAAACAACAAGATGCTTCAAAATGAAGGTGTTTAAAGTTGTTTTGTAATAGTTGTTTTGTAATAGTATCATGAGGCAAGAAAGGAAATTGTAAAAATCACAGAATTGGGGAGCATGAGCGAGGACAAAAAGTTGTTCCAAGTGTCCATAAGTAAGTTTCATGAGACGTTTATGGTTTGGGGGAATATTTATGAATTTCTTCTTTTCATTCAGGCTTAGGTAACAAGCTAGTTGGTCGATTCCCGTGGCAACCAATGGACCAATCCTTAGATGATCCAAAAATGTGGACCTTCACTTATGGGAAAATGCTAGGAAGAAAACATTTTTTGATTGGCAATTTGGGGAGTTGCAGTCCAGGATCTCTGAAAGATACCAGGCTGAGAATATGTGAATTATTTTTTCAGAAGGGCTATTATAGGGAGACGTGACTGCAAGAGTTGGAAGACACTGCAATTAGTTAAGAGAGGCAAACTCTGTGGAGAATGATTGATGAACCAACTGAGGATGACAGATTTGGAAGTATAGCTATAGTTGGTTTTTCATGACATTTCAAGTACATTTTAGATACTGCTGAGTGTTGATTTATCTGAAAACCTTTTATAATAGTTTGAAAATTAAGACATACTGTATATACTGTAAGTCCCAAATTTATGGGAAAAAAACTGATTGTCAAATAATGCTTAGTATAGAACAAAATTCTCTGGTAAATTTGTTCAGAGAAGCTTTTGTTAAATATTTGATAATGAGTGGTTATTATTACCATTAATTAATCTTAATACATGCTGCTTTTCCACTTAGGTTGTCTGGAATGACTTCTGACACAAGAGAAGTAATGTAATCACAGCCATAGATTCTAAATATTTATACATTATATTTGACTATTGGGCAGATTATAAGGGTCTATTCCTTTCCATTTTTCTTTTCTTTATAAAAGACTATTAATATGTTGCTCTTTTTCTCTCCTGCAGGGCTCTATGACAATTACCCAACCAATGCAGAACCAGAATGCTGTGATGTCAGATGGGGACTCTTATCCGATAACCAATCCAAAGGGACTATAAAAACAAGTGACTCAATGATGTGTCACCGGACATCACTCACAGTTTCATCAGCATCAAGACTGTGTAACAGCAGACTCAAACTGTGTGTTCTTGTATTAATTCTCTTACATACAGTACTCACTGTCTCAGCAGCACAGAATTCAACAGAACTGGGCTTTGGAGGCATAACAAATTTTGAAGATAACTCCACCAATGAGGAATAAGAGACCTGATCCATCTCCTCCTACAGGCACACAGCAGGCCCACCCATATGGCAGTCAGACCCAAAAGACTGGACCTTTTTGCCCTCTGTTCACTCCTCCAAAAGCCTTCTGGGTAAAACTCAACCGACGGGCCACTATCCAAACAAGGACACATCCTATACAGCTTTTTATTGACTAAAAGGCTGTCCGGTGACTTAAATTTCTCACACCATTTTATACACTGTGTTTTAATGTTTGGAGTTTCTTTTTTTGGTTTGTTTTGCACTTGTTAATACAGGATTTTATTTTTCAGACAGTTTCTCAGAGCTAAACTAAGTCTTTTCACTGTCTTATCTATTTCTAGTCATTGTGTGTGCTCATCAAATAGTTTGGTCTTTTATGTCTTGTCAGTTTCTATTAGAAGAAAGAACTGCTGTGGTCCCATGGCAAAAGATTTTTTTAAAAAACAAAACAGTGAAAACCAGCCCTCCCCCCCCAGCCCTCCCCTCCACAAAACCAGTTCTCTTTTTTCCCATTCTATTTTCCCCTGCTTCAGTGCCCCAGAGCAAACCATTCCCGCTTGCTTTCCTTCGGTGTAATCACAATGAATGGGTGTGAGGCCCAACGCACCTCTGCCACTGTTACACAAGTCATCTGACTGGAGAAATCCAAAGTAAGGGAGGGGCGGGGCGGAGAGCACCGTTAATACTCTCCTTTGAAAGTGGGATCTGACAATGAAACCTTAATATAAAGAAATCTATAACAAACTGTTGCTCCAAGGCCCATTTTCAAAAAGTCTAGTCTTTTCTCACTGGTCAGTTGAACAGGAGCGGCCTGATTTAGACTACCATGTGTGAAACCAAGCCAAGACCTCAGCGAAGTGATGAGAAGGGAAGGGATTCCTACACACCGGTGGGGAAAGTTTGGCATTCATTGTGAGTTACGGCTTTTATTCCTCTGTTATCATCTCTGTACCACATGGTAATACCATCTATAAAAACCAAAAGGTTTATTGGGGAAGGGGGGGGAAGAGAAAAAATATTTTCACCCCTGTTTGGTTCTGAGGATATCTAGAGATATCACGAAGGCTGTGAAGAACACAAGTGTCCTATCAAGCATAGGTAATGTGGTCATTGCATGTGAGTGTACATACTCTGAACATAAATATTGGGGTACATCTCTTGTGAAATCATTTGCCCAACCAAGCAGATGACCATTTTAAAATGAATTGCACCGTTGTGTGTTATGCTGATACAGTTCCTACAGCCTGCGGGATAGTTTCTGCTTCTCGAGGCTACAATTAAATCTTTGGGAGTGAGGTAGGGTGGGGAGGAGATCCAATTAAGATAGTGCAGCTGGGAAAAAAAGTTCATTTTTTTTTCTTTTTAAAGGATATTTTCATGAGTGTGCAATAAAATTTAAGATGCTGGGCTATAAGTAGTCAAGTATTGCGAGGGGTTGACGGGAGAAGAAAATCCAATTGCCTTTTTCATTGCTCTTTTTATAGGACCATATCACCTGCTGAGTGGATGGGATCTTGCTTTTTAAAATGGCTTTTTAGAGTTTACACTAGAATAAATGGAAGGAAAAGTTAATAAGGGCTGTTTTTTTAAAAAAACAAAACAAAACAAAACAAAAACTTTTCATTCCTTCCTGTTCTCTAACTACACTTGGGAAGTGCACTTTAGAGCTGTTTGCTGTGTAGCTGAGAGATGAAGGAAAAAAGATATTCTCTTACTTCTTGCATTAAAAAAAAACTCCTTGCCCATTTCAAGAAATGTTTCTGTTCCTCACTGCAGTGTTGATATGCATTTTTATTCATGTTCTATAATTTGTGAAGTTCTGACAACAACAACAAAGACAACCTAGAGAAACAACCCTACTGCTTTAGCAGATTAAACTAATGCATTTGTTAAAATGTATAATCTGAACTATTTTGCAAGACTTCTTGTTTTGATAGTGTTTTGCTATGACTGAGAATGAGGATCTTAAAATGACCTGTGCAAATACAAAACAAAACAAAACGGCACGTAAACGCAGAATTCTTCAGCTTCAGTTTCTTTCCTTATGTTTTCCTTCCTTCTCCACTGTGCATGTACACCTGTAGATATCTACATGGCATAAAGCACCACGCGTTTCGAGATGGGGTTCCCCCCCCCGGATGAGTACATTTTGTGATACATATTGTGGGAATGCGCTGAAAATAGGTAGGGTGGGGAAAAGGAAAGCTTTATTCAATGACGGAATGTAAATTTCAAAGAAAATCTGATCTCTTCTTGCAAAATCCACACAGCAAAATCTGTATAGAGCCAAAGCACTAGAGGGCTTAAGTGTGGGGGGGAAAAAAAACACCTTAGGGGAGCTCTTGTTCAACTGACCACTTTTTCTTTCTGATCTTAACATGTAAATGGTCAGTAAACAGTTTGTTATATACCTTGATCTACCTCTGCTGTACAAAGGCCATTCAGCAACCTCCATTTCTGTGGCATTCATGGCATCGTTTTGTTTCTCCCATGAATTAAACATTCATATTTTGTTCCTCCTTTTGTTTTTCCTCTATCTCAACACAGTAGTGCGTTCTGTTCACATCCCCCACTTAAAATAACATTAAAAACAAATGCTGATTCTTCTCAGTGGGATCCTGTTTTGCCTCATAATGATCTACTGCAGAGAATACAAAAAATGTATTCTCTTCCCCCCCCACCACCTCTGTCTGTTCCCCACCCCATTCCCAGCCATCCCTTTTCGGTTGCATTTTTAGGGGGAGAAATCAGCTCAACTTCTTTTTGGCTTCAGGCGGGGATATAGGAGAAAAAATAACTCATTAAAAAAAACACAGTGGCAACATTATTCATTTGCTTTTTTAAAAAAGCCAAACATTGAGTAAAATGAAGTAGTAAGCACAAACCATTTTACTTAAAAATATAATAAAATGTTTCCTTCCTTTCCAAATAGGTGCCTGCAGTTACATCGTCTCGGTCACTACCCCAATTCCCAATCTAATACTTTTACTGATTTTTCTTTTTTTCCAAAAGGAATATAGTGTTCTCGGGAGACAGCTGCTGCAGTGTGTGTTATTGTTTGGGCCTGGGTATATTTACTCCAGCAGTGGTCTGTATTCTTTCTTAGCAGCAGCTAAGAAACCATGCCTAGAACAAAAGGACTTTTTTTTAAATGAAGTTCAGAGAAACATAATCATGTATGATGCAAAAGCTCATCCCATCCATTTCTCATCCGTAACCGTTTTCTTGGCACAAACCTGAGCATGCTTGATATTGTGCATCTATTACTTTTGCCCAAATAAATTTGCATCTTGCCACTGTAACCGCCATCTTGTTCCATTTCTCCTTGTATTGTATGAATTGACATACATGATGAAGAATTGGCTTCTAACAGACCATGATTCAATATTCTAGCCTAGTACATTGAAGAAAGAGAATGACATTTATTTTGAACTTGTATGCAACAAGACTTCCCCTTTCTTTCATGTGTTTTATGATTTCATTTTCTGAAATAAGGAAAAATCCAGAGTTGTTGCAATATATTAATACTGCAAAGCCAAAATGTCATAGAACACAATCAGAGCTACTAATTGTTTCTTCCTTAGTGCACTTGAGAATTCATTATACTGACTTTCTGTTCATTAAAGAGAGAGAATAGTTTTTTGGGTGTGGAGGGGTAAATAGAACTGTTGAAAGCTATCCCTCCGTGCAGAATTACTCGTTTTGTGGAAAAGTGGATTAAAATGTGGGTACAAGCTGAAGATCAAGTTCCAGTGAGTGTGGAAGACCAAACAAGGATTGAAATATTTCAAAGAGTTACTTTGAAAAACAGAAACATTTAAAAGATATCAGAAATCACATATGAGAAATCACATATGTAATTGGCCTAAAATTGTGTGGTCTAGCCCGATATAGCTTTATTAGAACAATACAGGATAAAAACATTTCTTTATTTTTCTCTGTTTTATAAGGAAGATTTCTATTTCTTTCACTAAAACCTAGTTAAAAGAGCTCCAAAGGTAGAATTTCAAAGTAAGGTCTCTCTAAAATTTTGCAAAACTAATTTAACTTAATAACAGAGTTGTAAGGGATCTTGGAGATCTTTTAGTCCCCTGATGACATGAATAGATAAAATAAACACAACTTCATCACAGATGACAGGACAAGAATAAATATTAAATAAACAAGAGAAGGTTGTATGCCAGTTAATGTAATTCCAAGCTCCTACAAACTAAATCACCTATTGGAATGAAAAGTTAAAAAAACAAACATCCTTAGACATCCTTAGCCAGAATAAAAACTCTGACTTCTAGAGTCTCTTCCCTCAGGTTCTTTCATGTTTGATGAAATTGTAAAATGAAATTATAAGGTTATAATTTTATTTTGAATATATTTAAATAATGGGTTGTTTTATTAAAAGACTTGCTGAAGGTAAGAGAGGGTTTGAAATGGAACATGTACATACATAAATCTACTTAACATATACATACATAATATTTTAAGCTGCTTGGATTCTCTAATGCAGTGTGTGATATTAGTTGTTATTCAGAGGAAGAAAGTTGAAAAATGCTAAATCTTTAACATACATAATGCAGTTTTTTTATGGGCTAACATAAGCAATATTATCGATGGCAAAATAAGGACACAGTGAAACTGTCTTCAGCAGTTATTTTCCCCAAAATCTGATGACATATTGCTTAAAGAATTATTTGATAAATTTATAATCCATGTTTTTGTTCAGTTCAACCTCAGTTTGAGGTTATTGTATTTTATTTTAGCATATTAGATATGCTTGATTATAAACTCCGTGTTTCAAATAAGCTAGATCCCTTTGGATGAACCTTGTTTTTATTGTATTTTTAATGCACTACATATTTAGATTAGGATCATGACTTAATGCCATGGCCAAGATCATACTATCTGTAGCATACATAACTCTGCTGAACATCTACTGAAAATTTCCAATGGATAAAGCAAATGCAGCAAATTTCCCAATGTGTTTTATTAAAATTTGCCACAGGCTTGCACAGTAGAAACATGCAAAGCATTCAAAAGTGCCTTGTACACTTAAAGGCAAAAATGAAGCTTCTGACATAAATGGTTATCAGCACTTTGAGGTAGGGAAAGTCAAGAAAGAGGAGAAGCTGGGATCTAGGTTTTGAGAGGTCTTGAACACCTTGAAAGCTTATCAGGTTTCTATCTGCCACATTTGCTGTATGTCAAGGAGAATCAATTGAGTTTATTTTTCACACTTTCCCCAGCCTGAATATTTTCTTCTCCCTTAATGGATCATTACTCCCTTCCCCCTTCCTGGGTTCAGCACAATTGCTTCGAAGGCCTTTTCAGTACACCCCTGTAATATGTGCATGCATAGCTGTGCTTCACCAACAATCCTAGTGGAAGTATGTGCTGTATATGCTCATTTTAAAACACAGAGAAGCTGGAGGCAGCTGTTGCAAACTTTGAAATGGCTGTACCAATAGATGCTATGGCTACCTTAACATTTCAATGATGAGTGCTACAAAGATCTTCTTCAAATACTTTGCACAGATCTGGGACTCAGCACCTATGAAATTATATTCCTTTTCTTTGACTAAGTCTACCAAATAGATTAATCTGAGAGTCAATATTGAGACTTAAGGCTAACCAGGATTGCTAACTTCATGGGTGAAGCATTGTATCAAATGAATTCACAGGAGGAGCAAGAAGGCTGTGAAGAACAACATAGGCATCAAGTTGTCATGTTGCAGATGACATGACATAACTGTGTCAGACATCATGATGCAATTGAAGAACTATATGTATTTTTTCCATTATGGTTTATATGGGTTCTTGCATTCCCAAATTAACAATATTTATTTTTATTTGTTTGATTTATGAAACCATCCTATCACATACTGTATGTTACTCTAGGTGGCTTACAATAAACTAAATTATGTGTGCGTGCGCACATGCACACACACACACAGACACACACACACACACAGTATATAGCACACAAACAGCTAGGCATCATTCAAATAATTGTCAACACAGCCAGGACAAAGACTATATCATATACCTAGAGCTCAAGGCTCAGGAACAAAACCAAATTTTCAATTACTTATAAAAGGCCAACAAGGTCAGGTATGGGTCCAATTCAATATCAGTGGAGATGATGTTCCAAAGGGCAGCCAACTTCTAGTCCCCACCAATTGACATCCCATAGTCAACAGTGGAAGGAACTCACTATTCCAGTTGGATTGAATAGCTGAGGCAGAGACAACTGGTCCTGTAAGAAGCCCAGTCCCAAGCCATAAAGGGATTTAAAGATGACAACCAGCAGCTTACAGCACACTGGAAGGCAATGCAGTTCATGGAGTAATGCACACATGTGCTGAATAAACAGTGTCATTAATTGCCTGCACTGCCACATTCTGTTCTAGTTCTAGTTTCCAAATATTCTTCAAGGACAACCTCATAGAAAATGTATTACAGTAGCCCAGTCTGGAGGTCACAAGGGTATGAGTGACCATGAGTAGGACCCTCTGGGCCAGGAACAGGCACAACTAATGTACAATATGGCCTTCTAAAGCCATCACTTCCATCAGCCGCTTGAGCAGCAGGTGCAAGTCTAGGGTGGGGCATATTGTGCCCTGGGTCAGTGCCAACCCATTCAGAACCAAAGATGTTGAAGAGATCCAAAAATCCAGAGCCACTCTGTCTTACATGAGTTAAGCTGAAGCCTTTTGCTCCCCATCCAATTGCAAAACAGGTTATCATGAACCAAGTGACATCAATAGTCACCAATCAACATTTTTTCCTAATTGCATATATTTGTATAAATATTTATATTTGATATATTTGTATTTGTATTGCCATTCAATCATGGTAAATCAAGTTACAGTTTTGAAAATAGTATCATAAAAGCAAGCAAAGCAAAGAATACTAGAAAGAGAATAGGTACAAAACAAAAAGGAAGAGGAAATTAAAAAAAAAATACTGCAACAAAACCCAACCATCTAACTTTCATCCCAGTAGAAGAGATTATATGGAATGTAACATTTCAGACTAAAGCAGCAATCTCTGGTCTGGCTCCACATGGAGAATTATCACAATATAGCATTCTATTGAATTGATATTTCCTGTACTTCATGCTAAGAAATTTCATGCAAGAAAACAAGCTATATTCACAAGGTATATACACAATAAACAAGCTATATATATTCAGTTTACTTGGATAGTGGAAAAGTTTTAAACATTAACATAACAATAACATTAATGGCTATTGATATAAATTCTAATTGTCAAGAGATTGGGAATTCAAATTGAATATTCTAAAGATTTTGTAGAAAGGAAGCTTCCTTTTGTAAAGTGCTTTTTCTTATAGATCACTTGAAGTTTGCCAGAGTGAAGTTGAGTTGCTTAGTAAACATTCTACAAGCAAACGTACATGCATATTTTACCTTTTAATAGATGTAAAATTAGATCTCTCTAATTTAATGGAATATGAAGTGCCTTATATTTGTCAGCTTGATTGTGAAGGTACGAGCAACATATGCACAAATACAAATACACTAATCTTTAAAGGAATAATTAGAATCCACAAAGCATTTTCTTTTTAAAAATAGTAGTAAATAGAATCTCTGATTGCAAGTGGGTGGTGGGGAGGATGAATATTAAAAAGAAATAAAGTACAAACACAGAGAAATAGAACAAAAGCTTGAAAGAGGAAAAAGACAGATAAAACTAAGAGATAAAAGCAAATCCTTCTTAATCAATCTATCCACTCTAACAATATAATTCTGTTTCTTCAAAAGAAGGTGTACAGCCTCTTACTCAAGGTGGGATTGGGTTCTAGTGATGAAGGATGTTGAAAGGATAAAGCATAAGTTAGAGTAGAAAGAACAATGGAAGAAATTGGGGGAAGCAATTCAGGAAACTATTTCTAAACACAATTTACTCTTCCAACATCTCTAAAGTGGTAGGTGCAAGATAATCTGATGGATAATGGACATAAAATCAAACAGATCAGATGTTACAAATCCATACAATCTTTAAATAATCAGTCATGTTTCACCAAAAGACCCAACCTTCTCATTCTCCATATCCCTAATCACTTGTGCCGTAACTGAATTGAGATTGGCCTCCCATTTCCAGTTGTGCTGTGAACAAGAGGAGAAACATCAAGAGCTGATTATGCAGATTTTCATTTTCCATAGCAAGCATAGAAAGAATTTGTGTGCCTGCAGAACTGATCAAGAGATAAGATGTATTAATTTCACAAAGACTAGCACAGCAGTTTCCTTAAAATGCGTA